GTAGGAGTTGTTCCACATGTAGATGTATTTCTGATGTATTTGTGGGAAGGAAGGTGATCTCCAAGTCTTACTCTTCCGCCACCTTGAAGGTCTTCTAGGCTGACTTTTTAATTTCTTTTACCACTAATAAATTTATTTGGTTTTATTAAAAGCCACATATTGTCATTAAATCAAAAATTTTCATATTTTATTATAATTGTTTTCATTCTGAATGTCTGAAAGCTGTTCATTGAAAAATTTCATCTTTCATCAATGCAGTATTTCTTTATTTTTTATTAATATTTACATATGAAATAAAATGGGGAGAAAGGGCCACTACCTGATTCTTTGCATTCATAATCATGTAATTTAGGACCTCTGACTCCATGGAAATAAAAGATCTAAGTTTCAGAGCTAACAATGACGGGATGAAGGGCTTCTGCTGTTGCTGGTTGAGAATGAATTATTTCCCTGCATGGAGGAATTCAGGGATGTCCTTCATCGTGCTGTGTGTTAATTGGATTGTCTTTGGTATAGCTGGTTTAAGTGTGGCACGGATCATTTCCACATGGGTATCTTGAGTCAGGCTGGCCTTCTAAACCCACAGGTCTGTTTTGAAGTCTGAGCACTTTCTCACATCAAAGAGCAGAAGGGAAGTTTCTGAATCAAAAACTAAGTGGATTTCTTATCTCATGACCTGCAGCCATAGGGTGTGCTAACTTCCTGGGAGAGATGTCTCACCAGAGCTTTTAAAAAGAGGCATCGGCTGGGTGCTTTACCTTCATTGGTCAGTTTGCAGGGAGATGCCTTCAAAGGAGCCATGTTACAGGAAACACCCAGTTAGATGGTCTCATTCTTTTTGGCTTGTATGCTGGGAAGGTAGATGCATTGCTGCTACAGAGCAGTGAGGAGGTGGTGTCTCCAGAGAGGCTAAACCACTCCTAAAATGTATTCCAGCAAAGCAGGGAACACCAGAGTAGCTGATGGTCTAATTAATGGCCTTCAAGAGTCTAGTCCCAGAAGAAGATAGAGGGATGAGGGTCTGAAGAAGGGTCACTCTTAGTCAGAGCAAACTGGGCAGGTCTGCAGTCTGCAGAGAAATCAACTTTGCCATCTTATTACAAAAACCATGACAAACTGGAGGAAATTGCACGACTCTAGACTTCACCCCCTGACAACATAAGGCTCTCACTTCTTGTTTTCTCTCTGCACAGTTGTGGGACTGCATCTCAAATTCTAACTTGGATGCTTGGCCCTTATTGCATCCTTTGCTGATCTGATTCCACAGCATTTGCACTAGGGTTTAGTACTAAACCCCAAATTTACTGCCTTCAATGCTTTTCCTTTTGCATAATAGTCCTGAGAGCATTTTTTAAAATAGTTTCATCTGTTTCACTGTACTGCCATAATATATCTTTAAATTTTTCATAAAATCTTTATAATATCTTAATTTTTTTTGCCTTTTGCTTGCTCCTTTCTTTCCTCCATGATCATTTATTGAATACCTGCCATGAGTCAGGTGCATGTTCTACGGTGATGGAGTTAAATAACTTGGATGCTGATGTCGTCAGCATCCAATGGGGAGCGCAGGAAATCAGGTGCCCACACTAACGGCCATGCCACAGAGGCAAGGGCCAGTGGAGGCTTGCCTGAAGTGTCCTGGGAGCACTGAGGATAGAGCAAACACTTGTGCTTGGCAAGGGACACAGAAGGCTTTTGAGAAGAGGAGAACTTGAACAAAAAGAAGTTGTCCTGGAGACAAATACTCTTATCAGGAGAAGGATATTTCAGGCAGAATGACAGCTCATGGAAAGGCACTGAGGCATGAACAGCTGGGCATGTCTGGGGACATCACTGATAATTTGGTGCCACCAGAACATAGGGCACATGGGAAAGTGATTAAGTCTCCAGACGATGAGAAGACTTGTGGGCCCTTCCAAGGAATTCACTCTTTATTTGGTGGGCCATAGGGAGCTTTGATGGGTTGTAAGCATCAGGGTAATATGATCTACTGTGTTTTTGACTAAGATTGCTAATTTTCTTCAACTCTAATTTTACCTTTAATTGTACTCCCTGTATCTTTCTTTTTCTTTAAAACCCATAATATTTATTCTGGTTATCTATTTTCCAAAACCTATAAAAGTATATTCATCCCCACCCTCTCTTCCCTTCCATCACCCTCCCATTGGAAGCACTTGGCAGAAGTTTGGATGTGGATTTGCATACAACATTTTAAGCACTTGCTCTGTGCCAGGCACCGTGTAAAGCAATTTCATGATCTTCTCTCTTCTCCCCTTACTGTCTGTCCACTACCTCTTAACACAATGACTGGGAATATCGGGGAGAGAGCTTTGAACCGAATGAAGAGCTCCAAAGAAGCCTGTAATATACTGCTCTGAGCTCACCCTGTGCATCTGGGGCTCGTGAAGTAAAATAGTGTACGCTCAGCTCAAGGCAAGTTCCTAAGGTGATCTTATATTTAGGCACTTCACCTCTCAGACCATATGACCATGGCTGCTCTGGTCCTCTGCAACTGCAACGTCCCATACCTTCCACACGCACCTCGAAGCTGCGTTTTAGCCTTTTGTTCACAGTTAGCATGAAGCTTAGTGCATTTTACTTAGGCTTCCTCCATGAAAATATCCCCAGAAGAGATTTAACTAATCCATATTTTTTAATATAGTGGCAAACTCCCCAGTAAGTCAGGACCTTGTCTTATTCACGATAGTTCCCTGATCACAGCTTAGCCTGTCTCATTTCAGTCTCAGCTGTGATATTGGTTTTTGTCAATTTGTGTTTCCATGAGCTGTCCAGGACAAGAGTTGGAGAGAAAAGTGCCTTTAGGGAGCATCTGCTGCCCATGATTCAAAGAAAACCCCACTGGGAAGAACAGGACAGGCCAGTGTGCCTCATTCCACCTTCCAAAAACTCATAATGCAAGGTAATCTTACATATTCAATTCAGAAAGAAAAATATTCACATGTATTTATGTATAATATACATGGTAGGCAGTTGCCTCCCAATATTCTATTTCTCCTTCTGTTTAGAACCCTGATTTTTAGCAGAGCATGTTGCCATCAGAATAAGTGATGGCAGCTTCCCTTAGTTAGGAGTGGTCATATGACTCTATTTCCCAGCACCCCTTGTAGCCAGGTGTGGCCACTGAGATGTATGTAGAAGTGTTGGGAGATTTTGGGGAAGAAGCCCTTTATAAGGAAAGGTGTGAATTTCACTAGCCGTCTTCTGCTTTCTTCTACTGCTGGCTTGGAACATAGACATGATGGCTGGAGCTCTAGCAGCTATTTTAGCCATCTAAGGTCTAAAATTTTCTGTCCTACTAGTTATAGGATAGTAGGACAGAAAATAAAAAGATTTGGCACCTGAAGACACCATGGGACAACCATAACAGCCTTGAACTGCCTACCCCTGGACTTCTTTTATCTAAAAATGAATTAAAAAATGAATGAATGAGCTTCAAGCTTATTTCAGCTATGTTTTTTTATTTTGTTCCATATGTGCATTCAAACTCAAGTTTACACGTTGGAGATCTAAGTAAAAGTAGTTTAAGTCTACCTTCCTCCCAGTCTATAGCATACAGGAGTCTAAAGCATATGAGAATCAATCTATGATTGATATATGAGAGTCCAAAGCCCTCCCCAAGATACCCGTGAATCCCTGAGCATGTAAACGCCTAGTCCTTCAGCTTCTGGAGTTGTTATTACCTGTGCCTCCTTTGCTCTGCCCTGCTCTGATCCAAACATGAAACTCGTTTCCTCATTGATTTCCACAAGAATCCATTCAGGATCTTGGCAAAGTATCACCTCTCACATGGCACAGCAAACAACTTACTGATCTATGTTGAACTTCCTATTAGCTCAGGTCTTTTCGCCACCCCACTTCCCAGCACTTCTCTTTTAGCGCTTCAGCCAGGAAGACCCCAGTGTCTCATTTGATCCTGCTTCTCCCTTCTCTGCCTCTACTTCCTTCCTTTAACATCCAAATTCTACTGCCTCACTTATAAAAAGCAGCCCATGTGCCACAGCTCCTTTACCCAAATTTACTCTTAGGTGCCCGGCAGACAAAAGAAGTTCTATTTAATAGAATTCACTCTCCTAAGAAGGCAGTTGTAGTTGTAAATGGCGTCAGTGAGTGTGAACGCAGCTCTAAAATCTTAAGAACCTCAGAGTGCACAAAGGAGTGGGTGGGGTGTATGGGGATCAGGAAAGGAGTGTTGGAGCAAAGATCTGCCTGTGTGTCTGGGTCACTCTGCACCCTTGCCGTTGCTACATTGTTAACACATTGATGATCACTGGCTTATTTCCTGGTGCCTGTCTCTTCCTGCTGGAAACTACCAGTGTACCTCTTGGGAGGTGGGTTTCCACATTCTCTCTCACCATGTGGTTATTTTCTACATTACATTTGCAAGTTTCTCTCCTACCAGTGATAATACGCTTGGGTGGCCACTCCTCTGGGGTGTTCTGAATTTCTACTTTGTATCTACTTAAGTGCATTATTAAAATGGACGTTCCTTTAAAGATTCCGAGAAAATATAAAAAACATGTTAAAATTCCAATACTTGAGAAGGATAGTGTTAATTCATTGTTAGCTTTAAATTTACCTAACATTTACTGTTAGGTTTTTTTTCACTCATGTTGTCTCTTTAATCCTCATAATTTCCCTATAATAGTGGCATCGTATACCCCACTTTGTAGTTAAATAAACTGATACCCAGAGAGGTGGATCAGCTTGCCCAAGGACACACAATTAGTAAGTGATGAAACCATGATGAAGATGAAAGTGCCGCTGATCCTAAGCCCAGAACTCTTTTAATTAGCCGCCACGCACCCTTGTCATGGATTAATTTACCGTTTCCCTAGCAGAGAGCAGAGACGTGAGGTAGAATAAATAAACCCTGGCTGGGGAGGAGGGGTCAGCAAAGGATCTGGACTTGGTGTGAACCAAGGGTCACCGCAGAGAATCCTGGGAAGCCAGAAGCAAGGGGAGGGATCCTTGGTGTCCGAAAGAGGAGGAAGTCAAAGAGAAGAGGCGCTTTTGAGGGAGCACCAGATTTTACAGTATCTCCTGTCACCCAGGTCAGTTTTTTTTGTTTTTTGTGTTTTTTTTCTGATTAAGGAACTTGCTGTGAATGAGATGGTTGAGGCCAATGCAGTTCAAAATATAGTCAGGAAGCATATTCAAACAGAACAAGCCAGAACCACCGGTGTAACATTTGAGAATTATAAACCCTCAGCCTTCTGTAGCAGCTGGACAGACTGTGATTTGAATCGAAACTCTCCGAGTGAAGTAAGTAACAAAGTGCTCCAAGGAAGAAATCTCATTTCCCAAAAGCAGATTTTGAGAAACTCAGAATTGGAGCATCTGACACAGGTGTCCTCAAGGGACATCTTACAGGGTCCAACAAGTCGTTAGAAACCATTGGCAGGTCCAGGGCCTTTCAGCAAGTTGTACAGAGATTCTAATAGGTCATGTGCACTCAGTGCTCCAGGAGCACAGGTAGCCCTGTCGGGGAGATGAGACCAGGCAGTCTGAGCGATGCCTGTGCAAACAGTAGGAGCCCTGCACCTTCGCCTCGGCGACCGGAGGGAGGGTTTGTTAGTGGTACATGGGCTCACGCACTCCCTTCAGCATCAGTTAGCGAAATCACTTCCTGACTTCTGTGGTCCTCTCTCTCTTTTTTTTTTTTTTTTGGCGGTACGCGGGCCTCTCACTGCCGTGGCCTCCCCCGTTGCGGAGCACAGGCTCCAGACGCGCAGGCTCAGCGGCCATGGCTCACGGGCCCAGCCGCTCCGCGGCATGTGGGGTCTTCCCGGACAGGGGCACGAACCCGTGTCCCCTGCATCGGCAGGCGGACCCTCAACCACTGCGCCACCAGGGAAGCCCTGTGTTCCTCTTTTGACCCTGCCAAGTAAGAACTCACCTTTCAAGCATGAAAATCACTTCCGTTTAGGGAAAACCTACTATATGTCAAACACTACCATGACATTCCCCCACAGCTGAAGAATCTCAGCCCTGGAAATGGTAAAGGACTGGCTCAGTGCTATACAGCTAAGCCCGGGGTTCCCAGGGCAGCCAGCCCTGCCCGAAGCCCCAGCATCTCAGGCTGCCTCAGGACCGCCGTCCCTGGGGTGCTTGTGGGTGGAACTGCCTGGGTCACGCACACATGACCAAGGGCCTAAAAGTTGCACACAGCCTAACAGTGAGAAATGCCTCTCACCCTGAGGTGTCCCAGTCCTGCTTGCAGCTATAGATGTAGACCAGGAGACCCTCAGGAGGCCCAGAGCCGGGGCCAAATGCTTTTGCCGAAGCTGTGTGAAGATTCCTCCCCCACCTATGGGTTAACAAACTAGACTCTGCTCCTGGAGGGCTGCCCTGCACACAGACGGTGTTCGATAAATGCAGCCTTCAGTAAATGCAGCCAGTGTCATTTTCCTATACCTTGGCCTGCAACTACCATGGGCGTCTTAGAATTCTCTCGAAATCTGGCCTGAGGTGCAGATTTCATCATACTCCTGCTGGGATAATAACCAAAGCTTTGATTTACCAAATCTTCTTGCTGGACACACTGCTTTGTAGTATGAATACATCATCTATTTTAGTCCTTCCAGCAACCCTGACAAATATTATTATAATTCCAGTATAAATGAAGAAGTAGAAGAAAGTATAGAAAGGTTCCATCACTGGTCTAATACATGACTCAGAAGTGAACAATGGATGGGATAGTTGAACATGTGTCTTTTTGTCTTTCCAGTCAGTGCTATTAATAACTCTATTATCCTGCCTGCCGAGGAATTCCCTGGAATTTCTCTAGGCCCTGACCCCTCTGTTGGTCGTGGTGACCTCCAGAGCTTCCCTTGGCCACAGGGTCAGAGACCTTGTGAAACAGCAGCTCAGCCTCAAAGGAAGCCACGGGTCCATGGTGACCAAGGACATCCACGGCATTCGCTGGCCTAACCAGTGCTGGACCCTTAAGTAGGGAAATACTCTGGTGTGTGATATCTCTGCTGCAGATTCAGAGATTTGACAAATTGGCGTTTGTTAAACTAATGCTCACCCAAGAAGTCTTCAAACCATAAAAATTGGTATTTCCTACATCCTGGAAAGAATACAACTCTAAAATTCTACCTGCTGCTTAAAATGCTGTTCCTTAAGTAAAAGCAGGAGGAGGAGAAGAAATGTCTGCCAATTTTGATAGCTTTTATAATATTTTATAAAGTTGATCATAAGCTTTCCTCAGAGCCTAAACAGGGAGAATATTAATTGCATGATCCCCCAGGCTTATCTAGATTGCGGCCCTTTGCCCCACTCCCCTTATCTCATCGGAGAATGGATTGTGACTTTGCTGTATCCTATTTTAGAACAAAGCATTTAGATTATATGTCTTTTCTCTATCTATGATCTGGTTTAGTTTTCAGTTTGTTTGTTTGTTTGTTTTCTTCTTGGAAAAATAGCATTCAATTCTCATCTTCAAAATAGAAAATCAGTCTTAAAAATGAACAAATCTTTCACAGGTGAGGAATGTAAACAGACTTTGAAATTCTGGAGAAAAGAGATGCATCGTGCACAGTCAAGTAAATATGAATTGGTTAATTTCAGCTCATCTTTTTTCTTATTAGGTTGAAAATCCAGCCGTTTTGACTGCCCCTTTACTGTCTCACTGTTCATTTTCTGAACACCAATGAATGGCCTTGGGAAAACTTGACCCTTCAAGGAATAATCCAACTTCTCCAGAGGAAAATAACTACTTGACCAGAATATTCTTTAAGAACAAAATAAGGAGCCCAACCTCACCATATAAAACTGTTTAGAGCAAAACTAAACTTCTGAATACAACGGATTATAATTTCTACAGCCTGTGAACAACTGCTGATCAAATTGCTAAAGGCTGCTGTTTTTGTGGTTGAGGCTTTCTTCTTTGGTTTTACTTTTAACTTAGTTTTGTTTTGCAAGAACGAAAGAGGAAGGGCCGCCTAACCAGGCTGCGGGACGATTCCAGCAAGCCTCGAGTTTCCTGGGGTTCACAGCCGCGGACTTCAGCCAGCAAGTGCAGAAGCGCTTGTTGCTGCCTCAGCTGCACCTGGGTTTTTCCTTGTCTTGCAGTTTGTAGCTTAGAAGAACGGTGCGCAAGCGACTCCAGCTCTTCCCACACCCAGGCCAGTGTGGCTCTCTCTCAGGGCTCTGTCATAGTGAAAAGTGTGTATGTGAGTGTGGTGTGTGTGTGTGTCAGAAAACGAAAGAGAAGGGGAGAGAGACTGATCGATCCTTCGGCCTCAACATCAGCATCCCTTAGTCGTCCGCTTCTGTCCCCAGGCTGGTGTCTTCTGGTGCAGTAGCTCCGAGATGAAGCCACCCTGGAAAATCCTTATGGCCACTCCTCTGTTCTTTCTCCTGACCCTTCACACCTTGGCCTCTCCAGCCTATGACCACCAGCCCGGCACCAGACGCTCCAAAGGCCAAGTCTGTATAGGTATGTAAATATTCTATTTTTAATGTGGATATCACGGGGTCAAATCCTTGGCTTGCATAGTAAATCACCTATTTAATGGCATCCGTAGCTCCAAGATTCCAAGTAAGACACCAATAACCTTACCAGCGTCGAAAAGTTTTCTTCTTAGGGTAAGCATTCACACTACCTGCACATCTGTGTGTATAGAAGCATATGCTATATAGTTGCTAGTTTGAATTAAAAGTCTTCCACCTCATTGGCGACTGGAATTTCTTCCCCCTGGATGGGCAACTATAAAAGCCTGAAATTCTTACCTCCTTTCGGGACAGTAGGCAGCGTTACACAGTAGAAGGAAGATGGACTTTGACCTTTGAATTGCTGCCACCTCCTCCCCCTCTGTTCTGTCCCTTACAGTCTGAAACTTTGAGCAACCTAACACTTCCATACTTCTGTGTTCTTATGGATGAAACGAGGCTTATTATACGCACTTCATGGCGATGTGAGAATTGAGATCATGCGTGTAAATTTATGGTATTTGCACACAGTAAGGATTCAACAATCTTAGTTTTCTTCCTTCTCTCAGTGAGTCCAGAGATGGCAATAAAAGGACAGTCACCTGGAAACATTGACCTTTGACTGAGATATGGCTTTCACTTATCTTTTATTGAAGTATTTTACTTCAAAGTAGTTGTTGTTGTTTGGTGTTTGGGGTTTTGTTTTTCATTTTTTTTGGGGGGGGTGTTGTTGTTTTGTTTGTTTTTTTGGACAGGAGTAAAAGTAGGGTAAGACCTTTGATATTCATGTTATACCTGGAGATTCCTGAACAGGGCCAAGGGCTTTCAATGGGTCAGTCCATGGAGCCAAGGATACTCAGAAGTCTGAGTAGTAATTATTCAATGAGCAGATCTCAAAATAAAATCCTGGTTTAAGAAGCCAGAAGAAGAACTCGAGGGATGAGTATGGTGGCCATCTCTTACAAATGAAAAGTTTGGATACAGATTATGATACATATGAATTATTTCTGGAGACAGTACAGAAAAATATCTGAATTAGTCCTATTTCCTGAAAAACCATGATTTCCAGTCTTTATACTTGTTAAGGAGCACATCTCTGGTTTCAAGGCCTTCTTTTAAATTAAAACCTTAAGACCAGGATTCCCTGCGAATCTATTCTCCACAGGCCTGGAAGCAGAGGTCTGTGGCCCCATTGGAGCCATGCCTGGGAGGTTATCCCCACCCACTGTTTGGTTCCATCAGATAATTATTTACCACCTTCTATTTTCTCAAAACAAACACCTAAAGCTTGTCAAGTGGAAATGCACTGGAGAAAGGCTTAAGTGGAATCAGTTCTACTTCTAGGATGGTTGCATCATCTGAGATACTTGGCCCTCCACCCCTATAAAGTAGACATGAGATACTCATTCCCTTCCCTGCCCCATTCCCACTGAGGCATAGGAATTAGAAGGAGGTGTTGAGGGGATTCTAGGATGCGGTTGTTCTGGCTATCTATTATTGCATAACAAAATTTAAAATAACCATTTTGTCATACCATGATCTTGTGGATCGAGTGTGCACTTTTAGCACCAGCACGCCCAGCAGCTGTGGGGATTGGAGGTGTCTCCTGAAAGGGGACCTGGGGGCGCTCTTAGGCACTGGCCAAATGTGGAAGTGTCTTAGGAAGCAGCGAAGTAAACTTACTCGCAGCTGGTGGTAAGAGGAAGAGCCTCATAGAGGGGGTGGGAGAAGAGGAGGAATTGTCATTTGGACTTCTGTTACTCCCAACAACTTTCAAACGAAAAGCAGGACTACATGACTTCCAGCTCATTGGCTCCCATAGTCCAGAGTCTGCACGTAAGAGGTCAACCCACACAGAGATGGACTCTTCTTCTGGCTGTCATCTAACATCCTGGCACAGAGAATCTGGGCTAAGTCTTTAGCTCACTGAACAAGAGGCAGGGGAGAGTGAGGAGAGCTCCCAGTGCAGATGTGGTTGCCAGGGTCACGGAGGGAGGGGGCAGCTGTCACAGAAGTGGGGACTCTTGTGACTGGAGAGATACTCCACAAGGAGCCACTGTAGAAGTTATTGAGTGATTGAGCCAACATCCCCATCATAAACAAACAACCCCAGCTCCTATACCAAGAGGAACCTTTGCAGTGGGGAACCAACCAGCAGATCTGGAGGGCATGGCCTTGAACATATTCCAAAATCAGAACAAAGCTATGCAAAGCCCCAGTGGCCTCTTTCCCAATTTACCATAATTCCTTTGCACTGAACTGTACATTCATTTGATCACTAAGTAAACTCTGGTTCTACTGTGCTGGAACAGCCAGGGCCTCTTTCTGCCACTTTTCAAATGTTATGAAATCAATAATAAGCCATGTTCATTTTTGCAAAACATTATTTTCTTTACATGGCTGATTTAGGGGCAAAGTAATCCTTATGTTTCTAAGTCATTGACATTTAAATTAATTCACTGAATTTTGGGTTTGTTTTTTTTTTCAAGGAATCTTTTTAAAGCGCTTAAAAATTTTTTTTTTGCCTCATTCATGTTTGATTAAATATATAAAATGCCTTCAGAGTCCGATAAAACCTCCTCCCCCCCGAACCACATCACACACACAGTGGTCAGAGATGACTTTATAGTTTGAAAGATAAAGGGGAAGACGTGATCCTAAGCTTTCAACCAGCATGAATGGTAAAATGACAATGTTGCTGACAAAAATAGGAAAGATTTAGACAGAGCCAGCAGAGAAGGTTGAAAATTTATGATCACAATTTACATGTACAGAAGTTTCATTTTCTCTATTTCTCTATAGCTGAACACTTGTTCATAAGCCACCACCATTGCTGCTGAGGGCAGAAAACATTTCATCTTTCCACTCATGTGTTTAAATTCAGTCTCCTCTGGATAATTCAGGGCTCTCTTCTTTTTCCCCTGTCTGAGGGTTGCTCTCAGTCCTTGGGGAGGGCTTGTGTATCACCCTGACACGGTTCTCGGCCCTCAGAACTCCCACAGTGAAGTGTCATGGCTGGTGCAGCTCATGGGCTGTTCTCAACAGAATCCACAGTCACTCCCTGCTGACAAGCTGCTCACCTCCACCCTCGCGGGCCCTGCAGACCCTTCAGGTGTAGCCAGATGCCCTCTGGTTCCCAGCTGCAGCTGCAGCCCTCTACACTTTGTCCCCCACTCTTCACACTTGCCCTCTCCTTAATCCCCTACTTTTATTTTTAGATTATCACAGAATTTAATCCCAACCTTGGCACAGATGGTAGGTTTCTGATCATCTCAATTTTCACTAAACTCACCTTTGCCTTTTTTTCTTTTTTTCCTGGATTGTTCTGGGGCATAACCCTGAAGAGAAGGACCACAAAGGCACTCTAGAGAGAGGTCCACAACTCTGTGAAAGGTCCCAAAGTGAGCAAAACCAGAAGAATCCAAGTGGGCAGTATGCTTTTCTTTAAGGAGAAAGTGAAAATTTTCTTTTTTGGAGGGAAGGGGTGGGCAGTAAACTAGATCATAGTTTAAATGTACTATGAGAAAGAGGGGAAAAAAAGAATGTTGCAAAGCATTAAGCAGAGTAAAATCCCCATAAAATTATATATAATGTGCCTATCTCTCTATTTATATAGCTGTCTTCCCAGATAGGATGAACAGCAAAATGCCAATAGTTGTTGTATGGTTATCTATGAGTGATGAGGTTACAAATGATTTGTAATCTCTTTTCAGTGCATTTCTGAATTTTCCACATTTTCTAGATGAGCTTGCAAAAACAATAGTAAGACATGGTGGTTAAGAGCAAAAGAGCTTAAGCTCTGGGGTCAGACTGCCTGGATTGGAATCCTGGCTCTGCCACTCTGTACATATGTGACATTAAGGGCACAGTTTCACCCTCTGTACCTTGTGTCCCCTATCTGTAAGATGAGATTACATGGGACCTGCATCCTTGGGTGGTGTGGAGGGCTAATGAGTAAATACACATGAAGGACTTAGAACTGTGCTTGGTACATACTAAGTACCCAAAGGGGTTGTGATTATGTATTCTTTTGGAAATCAGGAAAAAAAATATTGAAAATAAGCTATGGAAGTCCTGCATTTAAACCTATCATAAGGCAAAAAGGCCTGAGTAAACTGAATAATTACATGTGAATCTACATCTTATGCAAATACAAATTCTCAAATCTTGGATATCTTAAGGGAAGACTCACTTATGAAAAAAGATTTCATAGTGTATTAGCTTTCTATTGCTGTGTAATAACTTGCCACACATTCATCAGTTTAAAACAACATAAATTTATTATCTCACGGTTTCTGCACATGAGAAGTCTGGACATAATATAACCCGGTTCTCTGCTCAGACTTTTACAAGGCTGTAATCGAGATGTCACATGGGGCTGCATGTGATGTGAGACTCAGGTTCTCTCGCAAGTTCACTAGTGGTTGGCAGAATTCAGGTTCTTGGATTTGCAGGGCTGAGGTCCCATGTGCTTGCGAGCTGTCAGCCAGGATCACTCTCAGCTCTGAGAGGCTGCCCCTTTGCAAAGGAAGTTAATAACGTAGCTATTTCTTTCTTGTTTAAGAACTGCTGGAGCAAGCTCTCTACATTTAAAGGGCTCACCTGATTATGTTGCGTCCACCCAGGATAACCTTGAGTAACTCAAAGTAAACTAACTAGAGTCCTTAATTACATATGCAAAATCTCTCTTATCATAGAACGTAACACAATCATAGAAGTGATATCCAATCACATTCACAGGTTCTGCCCTCACTCAGGTGAGGGGATTAAGTAAGGCCTCTACATCAGGAGACAGTAATCTTATCATTCTGCCTACCACTCATAGAAATGCTTAAAAAAGAAAAAGTCTTCAAACTAAACACCAGATAGTATTGCAAAAGAGAATTGATGTGACTTGGTCCCAAAGTGATTCACCAAATAGGCACGACTATATAGTAGAAGTTCATAGATGAAGAGTAAGCTGTGGGTTGAAGCATTTTTTGTTTTGTTTTGTTTTTGAGGGAGAGG